GTGTCTGGCACATAATAGGTGCACAATAAATATTTGTTGAATGTTATTGTTGTTGCATGTATCTGTGTCCATCCCACCTACTAGACTGGGAGCTCTTTGAGGAAAGGGCTTCTGTCCTACTTGTCTCTTAAGAGTTTGTTGAATGAATCCATAAGCGAAGGAATTAACACACAGTCAGGGCAACTGAGTCAGCAGCAAATCCAAAGCCCCAATTCTGCCTACTCTGAGGCGGCAAAGTTTTAGCAATGAGAGGAATGAATTAGAAATCCTAGGATGTGGATCAGTAAGTGGTTTGCCACAATTCTCTAAGCCCAAATTTAAGACTATCTAAAAGATAACTGAACAAAATTCCAGGGTTTAACTGACAATAAATAAAACTATTGATTTTTCCCCATAAGCCCATTTCTCCCTTTCTTTCCCACCTCAGTAAATGGCACTACCACCCAACCACTGGCTCAAGCCAAAAACATTGCTGCAGCCTTAATGTCTGCATGTATACCCCAAACTATCATCAGCAAGTCTGTTAGTTCCTCTCAAAATATACAGTGAATCCCCCCACTTTATCCATCACTGCTGCAATCACTTTGGTCCAACCACCACCACCATCATCTCTCACTTGGACTGTTGCAGGATCTTCCTAAAGGTCTCCCAGCTTCCTCTCTCACACCTCTATAAACCATTTCCACACAGCAGCTGGCTAGATCTTTAAATAACAGTGAAGCTGATCATGTTACACCCACTTCCTAAAAACTTCCAAATGTGGGAGTCCCATAACACACAGAATAAAATCTGAACTCCCTACAGTGATTCCCAAGGCCTTCTGTGACCTTGTCCCTGCCTGCCTCTGGTATCAGTTTATACCATGTCCCCATCACTCACTTCACTCTAGCCATGCTGTCCTCATCAAAGTTCGCTCCCACCTCAGGGTCTTTGTATTTGCTCTTCCTTCTGTCTGGACACCCTTCCCCACATCTTCACCTGACTAGCTCCCTCTTGCCATCCAGGTGTCAGCTCAAATATCCCTCCTCCGAGAGGCTGTCCCTGGCCACCCCATCAAAAGGAGCTCTCTCTATTACATTACTGTTTTATTTCCTTGTTAGTCTTCATTGCCATGTGAAATTAGCAAATAAAATTGTTTATTTTTATGTGTTTATCATCTATCTCCTCAAACGAGAATACTGGTTCTTCTTACGTTCTGAAATTATCATACTTATTTATTTACTTGTTTTCTGTCTCTCCTACTAGCATGTAAACTCTAGGAGGGCAGTACCTTATATCCCTATCTCCTAGCACAGTGCCAGACACATAGTAGATGCTCAATAAATGTTGAACTAATGAATGAATGAATGAACTCAAAATGAGTCCACAGAGTGATGTAAGCTTGGGGAGAGAAGCAAATGTGATCTCAGTTGCCATTAATAGGAATACAGAATATATGAGGAGAAAACAGCTCTACTCTGATTGAATCATATCTGGATTACTGTACTTGGTTCTGGGAACCACACTGCAACAAGGACCAGCAGTGTGGACAAGAAACTGACCAAGTCGGCACATGTGGGGAAACTTTGAAAACCAGAGTTACTTCATTTACAGAAACGAGAAATTCTAGGAGAAATACTGTTGTCTTTTAGTATCTAAAGAGCTATTGAGGAAAAGAGAGGATAGATTTGGTTTGGAACTGTAAGAGAAAGAATCCAGACAAATTGGTATTAGATCGATAGAGGCAGATTTCAGATGCAGGAAGACAATGACGTTTTGACACTCAGGGCTCACAGCAAGGGAATGGACTATATTGTAAAGTAGTGAGCTCCCCATCTAAGAAAGTATACAACGGGATAATCAATTAGCAAGGATGTTGGGGTAGGGATTCAAGCAGCAGTAGATGGCCTCCAAAATCCCTTTCAAACTTAAGACGTCTGGGTTTCTATGACACATAGGTGCAGAATTCTGGCTAACAAGTGTGCTAGAACTTATTTATCTAGTTGCTCCACTAGCAGAAAATATCACCACAAATTAAGCAGTGGGGAGATTAGCTAAGAGGTGTCTTCTGAGCCTGGCATCCCAGAAATCCCATGGACAGCTCCCTGAATTTGAAATGCTATCTATGTGAGATCATTCAAAACATAGAATTTCCAAACATTTTGACTATCCAAAAAGATGCCTCATTTCTAGGGGAAAGACAGCCAACATTATAGCACAGTAGCTAAGACGGTCCTGAGTTTGAATTCTGAAGCTCCACCACTTCCTAGGAGCCATGGTGGCGCAGCGGTTAAGAGCTTGGCTGCTAGCCAAAAGGTCAGCAGTTCGAATCCACCAGCCAATCCTTTGAAACCCCATGGGGCAGTTGTATCCTGTCCTATAGGGTTGCTATGAGTCGGAATCGACTTGACGGCAATGGGTTTGGTTAGGTATGTTTGGTTCACCACTTCCTAACTGCAGGATCTTAGACGAGGAAATTAACCTCTCCAAACCTCAGCTGCCTCATCTGTAAAAAAGAATTTCAGTTAAAAATGTTGTTGTTGTTGGGCACCATTGAGTCAATTCCAACTCACAGCGACCCATGACTGAGTAAAACTGTCCCATATGGTTTTCTTCGCTGTAATCTTTACAGAAGCAGATCACCAGGTCTTTTTCCCCAGGAAGGAGGGTTCAAAGGCCAACTCTTCCATTAGCAGCTGAGCACTTAACCCTTGTGCCACCAGAGATCCTTATTTAAAAATGGGGGAAGGACAACTGAAATAAGAATGGCACCAATTTGATAATAACTGAAACTCAGTGACAGATACACAGACATTCACTATACTATTCTACTATCGTATGTTTGAAAAATTACATAATGAAAAATAGAAAAGGGGAGACTTTAATAATAGTACCTACCTCACAATAATTGTGGATTTAAAGCAATTATCATCATCATTACATTAGGAATTTACAAAACCTAATTATTACCATCAAAAAATCAAACCTGTTGCCATCAAGTCGATTCTGACTCATAGTTTTAAATATCCCATTTAATCATCCCAAAAATCCTTATGAAATGCGTAGTCATCATCTCCATTTGGCAGATGAGGAAACAAAGTTCAGTGAACTTAACTAGTCACGAATCCTGCAGTTGCCCCAGGGCTAAAACGTTATCTGAAACCAGAGTTATCTGACTCCACCATTACATAGCCTTTATTTCAATAATAGCTCTTTTTGTTCTACTTGGCTGAGATCTACATGATTATGATATCATTTATTCATCTAAGCCAGTGGTTTCCTAACTCATTCCTCAGCAGCAGAACCTTTTTTTCTGAGGCAGTCTTACTCAGAACTCCGGTAAGTAAAACACATAAAAGCAGAACTGCTCTGCTGAAGTGAGTCTGGGACCCAGCAACGAGACACTTGACTCCAGGGTGGCCCCGAAGCACCGTACGGTCTACGGAGCATAGTTTGAAAACCCTAGATTGAAGCCAACAACAAGAACAACGCAAAGCCTAAGAGTCATATAGTAAAATCAGCCTACATTTGTATAATGCACCTTTTGTTTTCCTGAGGTGGACAAGGCAGGGCACATGATTGTCTATTTGCAGATTAGAAAATCAAGGCCAAATGAAGTTAAGCAACTGGCCAAAAGTGCGCCAGTTCAATTGTCAGCCAAGCACAGACTGGAAGTAGAGTCTACCTCCATTGACTCCACGTGACCTGGCAGAGAGAGTGCCATCTACTGGAAATTGCTACTAATTCTTGGCTATCAGGCGGTGAGCACAGCCCTATGAGCCCCTCTGCCAAGGCCCTGTCCCTGAGCAGATGGCTATGGTGGTGGAGAGGGACTCAGTGTCACCGGAGGACCATTCCCATCAGAGCCATGTCACGTTGAGCGCAGGGCTGGGGAGGCAGTAATAGCCGACGTGTCTTTCACCTTCACCTGCAGCAAGTAGGTAAATGCAGCAGGCAGGGCAGATCTGTGTAGCAGTTACACTTTGCCTTTCTTCTAGCTCTTGCTTGGAAATCCCTGAATCCAGAGGCAGCTGATAATTGCCTGAATGGCTCCCTCACTCCACAGCATCTCTGAACCAAGCTGGAGCATGTGTTGGAATAGGTAGCACTTAATTATCACATAGTATTTAATTAGCAATTAATTATTAACACTTAATCCATCTGTAAAATGGGGACACTAATATCTGCCTCATAGAGCCTCTGGGAGGATTAATTAACGTTCACAGTCCACTTTGAAGATGCAAAACATTGAAGAAGTGCTCAACAGTGGCATAAATAACCACACTGGATTTATTTTCTTTTTCTAATGAGGTCCCTAATTCCTCTCTACATCTCTCTCTCTTTTCAATTTTCCATCCCCAACAATATCTGCCCAACTTTGCCCTGGTAGAGAAACATTTAGCTCCATATTTCTCAGACATAGGATTCCCCATCTAGGAAATGGGCTATTTACGGCCATCTTCCCGCACTTTAATTTTCTATTATGTCCTCTGAATATGTCAATGTTTTCCCAGTAAATATTTTGATGTGAGTTTTTGTGGCTTCTGTGGAGGCTGAATGGGACAGCTGCTCCCTGTATTAGGGAATTCCAGATGTGATTTAAAATTACCAGACTCATCTGTGTGAATGCCCAGCCTTTGAGGGATAGGAAGAGGGAAGGATCTTCTGGCTGACTCTGGGGAAAGCCATGGGCTTCAAAACAGATAGCCATCTAACCCTCAGCCTTGGCTTGGGTGGCTTTTCAAGGACCTCAGACCCAAACCTGGTTTAGCTCTGCCTTTAGGATGAAAAAACATTCCCTTAGTGGACTGGTGAAGAGGCAGCCTAGAATACAGCCCTGGCCTGATCCTTCATCCACAGCCATGGTCAGCTTTTCTCTAAAGGGTGGACAAAGCACCATGGTATGGGAGGAATAGTATACAGTATACAATAGTATACAATGGGCTAGAACATTCCCCCAGCAGGTCAGATCTCATCTCCTCCCTCTTCCCTTGATACCAACCAAGCAGGAAGACACTTACTCTTCTTGGAAGCTGAGCCCGTTGTCTCTCAGAGTCCCAGCCACGGGGGCAGAGAGCTGCTCCATCCAGGTCCTGGGCTGCAAGGCCTTCGGCAGGCCCTGAACCCTCTTCCAGATTTCATGGCAAGTCTTGTCTAGGCTGTCTTGGGGTGTGTCATGGTGGATCCAGATGTATCTGGGGAATGGGCCCAGGGCAGAGGGGCGCTTGGCCACTAGGGCCGAGGACGAAGGGAGCCCATTCCCACTGGCCATGCTCCTCCTCTCTCTCTGGAAGCCTCTTTGTCCACCCAGAGCTCCAACACTGGGGGACCATCCACCACCACCCCTCATTCACCAGAAAGGGAAATGAGGATGGGGCCTGGCAGAGGCAGGTCAGTTCTGTCTGCTCGTTGCTCCAGCAAGGTGACTATGTTCAGAGGCCCTCGATTTGGGTGTGAGTCGTGAGGAGTGGAGAGCTTTCTTTTGGGGAGGGGGAACTTATTGTGATTTGTTTTTATTTGCTCTTTCCTGACTTTTGCCCCCCTCCCCCTCTCCCTTAGTAGAAAATATTTAAAAGTCAACAAAAACCAGTAGCTTAGTAACCTTGGAATCCCCCGTAGCTCAGGAACCAGGCGCCTGGGCGGGCAGAATGACATCTGGGAACAGCTGGAGGGGGAGGGCTGGCTCTCCCCACAGTCCCTGGCACTCCCACCTTGCGACACCCCCCCGGCACCTTGCGGCTCCTGGGGCTCAGCCCATTCTCTCCCACTAATCCAGTGGATGACTGGTTAAGAGCCTGGCACTGTGTTAGACACCCTGGGGGCAGGAGGCCACCATTACAGTCTCAGCTCCGCCTTCCCAGGGACCCCTGCGCAGCCTGAGGGCCAACGGCCCCGCGTCCCCTCCCCCAGCTGAATCCCCTCTTGCTTGCCCCACTAGTCCCTGCCTGTCCCCCTCTCCAGCGGCTGTTCTGCCGCCCCCCGAATAGAAAACTTCAGCGGGTAAGTCTGGGTAGCGCTCCACGCCCTTCCGCAGCCTGCCCCCAGCACCTCCAGCAGTCACTTGCCACGTCTTCCGAACCGGGACGCGGGATGGGCACCGGGAAGGGTCCCTACGCTTTAAAAGGGAGCTGCTTCCACTGGGCAGGCTGGGCAGGGCGGCTTTGGCCTATTTGCGTACCAGTGGTTCTCACAACCTTGCGGTCGAGCGCTGGAATTCTTTTTGTGGGTTTCAAAAGCAACGGCTGGGTGCGCGGGGCGCCCCTAGTTCGGTGCCCAAGACCCTTTGCTGCCGCGGGCCGCAGGCGGGTGAGGGGGCATCCCGGTAGCGTAGCTTTCCCCCATGAGACGTTCCGGGAGGAGACAGGCAGTGGCCTCGCTCAGCTACCAGACACAAACGTCGCGCCAGCCAGGGGCCCTGCCCCTTTGTCAGCCAGACTTTACCACTAACTGCTGTTTTAGTCAGGCGTTTGCTGTGTGCCAAGCTTGTAGCTTTCTGTGCTATCATATTCGATCCTTAACGAACTCAGGCGGTTAGTATTGTTATTAGCGGTCTACATATACAGAAGCGGAGGCTTAACCACAAAGGAACACGTCTAAGACCAGTTAAGAAATGGGGAGCTGGGATTCAACCCCGGGCACTCTAGGCCTGAGCCACTGAGATAGACCGCCCTTTTCTCGGCTTCGTTAAACTTGGAACTGAAACAGCAAACGCGGACAGGGGCTCTCTGGCCTCAGGAGTCAGCGGTTGTTCCTCCACAGTTTCCCTTGAGAAGGAAGAGAAAGACAGTAGCGAAAGAATGGACGCAAATAGGTGAGCTGGCAGCCTATAGCGGTAGGGCTGGGTTGAACTCTGAACTGCCACCTCCACTGAGCCCTTAGTGCTTGCTGGGCATTGAAGAAGCATGAGAATAAACAAAAAACGTGGTCCCTGCTTTTATGGAGCCGATATTCTAGTGGAGTGAGATAGACCACAAATTATGGAAGCAAGTAAGTAAACATTAATTATTATAGGTCCCTGGTGATGCAGTGGTTAAGCACTGGGCTGCTAACCGAAAGGTCTGCAGTTCCAACCCACCAGCCACTCTGCAGGAGAAAGATGTAGCAGTCTGCTTTGTAAAGATTACAGCCTTGGAAACCCTACGGGGCAGTTCTGCTCTGTCCTACTGGGTCACTATGAGTCGGACTCAGCTTGATAGCAATGGAGTACAGATCCCTGTGTGGCACAAAGGGTTGAAAGCTTGCCTACTGGACGGCACAAGCACTTTGCACTTAACTGCTAACCTAAAAGTTGGCAGTTCCAACCCACTCGGTGGCTCGACAGAAGAAAGGCCTGGTGATCTGCTTTCATAAAGATTACAGCCAAGAAAACCCCATGGAGTAGTTCTACTTTGTAACACATTGGGTCTGCATGAATTGGGGGCTGACGACAGAAGCCAACACCAACAACTAATCCAAAGACAATTCAAATGCACCCAGAGTTGCCGCTAAAGAAATGCCTGATACTTCTGAAATGGAGTGTAGTTCCACTTTGAAACACATGGGGTCACCATGAGTTGGAATCGACTTGAAGGCAGCTGGTTTGTTTGTTTTTTGTTTATTTGTTTGTTTAACAGATGAAATAAGGACTGTGATGGAAAGCAACAAGTGAGGCATGGGGAGGGGTGGGGGAGAGAGAGAGGGAGAAGGAAAAGGGCAACATTAGATGATGGTCCAGGCAGACTTCTCTGAGGAAGTAACATTTGAGATGGAACAGAAATATGAGGGAGTCCTTTCTCTGGTAAAATGGTGTTAATTATCATGAGGATAAAATTTCTGCACACAGTAGGTACTCAATAAATATGTGTTGAATGAATTAATGGTATACTGTATGGAAAGTGCTTGGCACACAGTAGGTGCCCAATACCCGACCTTGCTCTTTATAGAGGGGCTGAGCTCCTGGAAGTGTTGACTCTAAATTTTGAAATCTGAACTTCATTCCCCTTTGATTTTCATTATAAATTTGAAGATGTGTTCCTTTGGGGAAAATTCCGAAGACTTAGACTGAATAAAATTATAGTTAAGAATGTAGAAAACCTTTTAAGATAGTGTATTTAAAGGAAAAGTGATCATTTCTGATGAAATATTAATAGTTCTGAAAATGTCACTCAGTGTTTGTGCTGCTTGGCATTTGGTTGGCTAACACCTATGCTTAGAGCAGAACGCCAACAACCCTGCACTGCCCAGACCACAGGATTCTGGAAAGTTAGCTCACTCACTCCTCCTGCTCTCTCTCCCCTTCAGCAGAAGACTGGGCAACAGGGTCTAAATCAGGAAGAATTAGGGAAAAAAAAAAAAAAAAAATGCAGCAGGAACTGTGAACGAAGGTTTGTTTCTTGGAACATACAGCTGAGGTTTCTAGAAGATTCTGCAAAGACCTTAAGTAAAAGAGACAGTATAAGCTGCATTTTCCAGTATGCTAGCCACTAGCCACGGGTGGCTATTTTAATTTTAATTAAATAAATTTAAATAAAGTTAAAAATTCAATTCCTCAGTGGCACTGGCCACATTTCAAGTACTTAATAACCATGTGTGGCTAGAGACTATACCATAGTGAACAGTGAAGAGAACATTTTCATGATTCAAAACAGATTCTTGAGCCAGACTGCCTGAGTTCAAATTTTCTGGCAATGTCGACTTAGGCAAGTTACCTAACCTTTATGTGCCTTCATTTCCTCATCTGTAAAATGGGGATGATAATAAAGAACACTTGCCTCATAGAATTGTTGTAGATGGTCTATTGCTAAGCAATTACTAAACACATGGAAAGTCCCTGGAACAACACCTAGAGCATAAAAGTGCTGTAGTTGGCTTGTTGATTGCATTGAAATGTGTATCTCTGAGTCACATGCCTTCACGCTATGTGTAGGGAGAGAGAACTTTAGTTGTACTTTTAGCTGTACTGGGGAAATTGCTCTGTGTTGGAGGAATGGAATCAGCATCACCTAAGCCTTCCAAGGCTTTGTTCCTTTTGAGGATTGTATTCATTTTCTGCAGCTGCTGTAACAAATTACCACAGGCTTGGTGGTATAAAACAAGACAAATTTATTTTCTCACAGTTTTGGAGGCCAGAAGTCCAAAATTAAGGTGTTGGCAGGACCATGCTCTCTCCAAAGGCTCTATGGAAGAATCCATCCTTGCCTGTTCCAGCTTCTGGTGGCTCCAGGCATTCTTAGTTTGTGGCTGCAAAACTCCAGTCTCTGCCTTCATCCCTTGTCTGTCCCAAATCTTCCTCTGCCTTTCTCTTATAAGGACACTTGATTTACAGCCCACCAAGATAATCCAGGATAATCTCAAGATCCTTAACTTAATTACATCTACAAAGACCCTTTTTTTCTAAATAAGGCCATATTCACAGATTCCAGGGATTAGGATATGGACATATCTTTTTTAGGAGGTGGTACCATTCTATTCACTACGAGCACCTACTACTATGGGTCAAGATTGTACAAGGTACAGGGGTTAGAGATGAGTAAGACTGCTACTCTAGACAAAGTCACAGTCTAGTGAGGAAGGCAAACTGTTCCATAGGTGTCTGACTGTAAAAAGGGGCTAGTCGTAGTAATAGTAGCATCATCACCTGTGTAACTTCAGGGGAGGCAGTGCAAATCACCATCAGTACAAAGTTGATCCCTGTGAGGTGAAGGTCAGACATACCTCCACTCTCCAACCTTTTTACCAGTTCTGATACCAGCTGTCCCTCCCCTTGCACTCTCTACTTCTGGGTTTGATAGTCCATTGCAATGACCACACAAAACTCACAGACCATACTTAATACAGTTAAGTGGTTTATTAAGGAACAGGGTACCATTTAGCATCAGGATCAGGAAGCATGTAGGCAAAGTCTCCCTTCTTCAATGCAGAACAGCTCTCTCAGCTATTCTCAGCTGTGCAGGCTCTGCCACTGGGCCCCTTGTGGGTTTGTTGCTGTCTTCGGTGTTATAGTCCTTGACATATATTACAGCTCTTTTAGGAAGTTCCTTGCCTCCTCTCTCTCTCTCTCCTTTCTTCCTTTTGCTTCTTCCTGCTTCTGTCTCCAAAAACCTCTTTGGGGGGCTACTTAAATATACGAACTCCTTGTCAATTTGAAGGCATGGCACTCCCACTAGGGCCACAAACTGACCAATCCCCTCTTGGTAGGTGACAGACATTCATTTGCATAGTAGGCATGGCTGAGCTACAGATCATCTCATTTTCATAGCCTATTTACCAATCCTTACAAGGTACATACCAATCACATGGCAGGCTGCAGCCCAGGACCAAACAAAAAGTATCAGACCAAGTTGTTTACAGCTTACCCAGGAAATGTCAGTC